TAGTAGCGATGCCAGGATACCTCTGTCTAACTTCAAGCCTGGGGTCCAGCGATGCCCTTTGCTCCTAGTAGCTTCTTGCTAGTGCTCAAACAAGAGGCCGACTCCTCCGACTCCGCATTCTCCGGCCAGCGCAACCGACCCTCGGAGAGGAAACGTGCTTTTGCCTACCGGTGCTGTGAGGAACACAGAGTGCGAACTTCTGGACTCCAAGCACCAAAAGTGCTCAGGTTAACATGATGATGGAACACATATTAATACGCTTTTTAATGAATTGTCCATTAGTGACGAGTGGAGTTGGCTCACCCACTGTGTCCCAACAAAGCATCTGGCCCCGCTAAAGGCGAACGCCTTCTCGCCTTCTCACTTGCTCGCACTAGCATGGAGTCTGGAAAGTTTCCGATGATTCCTTGGCGATGCATGACACAACGGGCCGACATCTATGTCAAGCTACCCCTTGGCCATTGTTACAGCCTGGCTGCTGCTTGCAAAATAAAGGCCGCCGTGGAACATTGGCTATATCCCAGGCACCCTGTGACTTCAAAATTTCAATTAGCACAGCTCAACCTAGGCAAATTTGTTTCGTCAGCGGTCTCGATCTCGTTTGGGAAGCGGCTAAGGGTATGAATAAACAACGCCACTGTGAACACCGAGAGGCTTTCCATCAATGCCTTGGAAGTAGGCACGGGATATGCAATAACCTAAATCTGGTGCATGTACATATGTAATTACAGTAAATGGTGCACGCGTGCTAAGCCCCCCCAGGGATGTACGTTGTACAAATGACAGAAGGCGAGAAGGCATGTTTGAGAAGGTGCGTTTTGTGGATGCTAGTAGCAATGCCCTTGTTACTATATAGCAGCTTCTTGCAACCCCTGTAATATGACATCTGTTATTATTGAGCAGGCGGTGAAAAGGAATTGCCCGAGGTAAGCAAAAACTTCAATAGAATTCTTTTCATAGGACATAGGTGCATAATCTGTACAAGGGCTTTAGGCAGCTACAAGCCTTCAAGTCTACAATCAATACTGTTAAGCATGTGTTCCAGCCAGTGCATCATTTCTTTGAGCCTGTGCAGGTTTGATGGTCACGCGATGAAGGGAAAAAGCCTGAACGGGTTCGACACAAATGAAGCCCGTCAGTGAAGACCAGGAGAAGGATGCCCGAAAGGTGGTTTTTGGTTGTTTTGAAATGCGTTTCGGGCATCATGCATGAATGCGAAGCCCTATAAAGAGCAGGGCTGGGAGAAAAAAAGAGGAGTGTAGTTTTCGTGGAGCTGGTATCACTGCGACGTAGATGAAGATCGGAGCACAGCATGAAGTGTTGAATGTTTTTAGTATTCTTGATTTGCTTGGTGCGGTGCCTTCTGGAGCGTCCCTTGTTGGTGTTCTATTTGAGAACCCGTGCCAAAAAAAACCGTCAGTGAACACCAGGAGAATGATGCCCGAAATGGTTCTTGTTGTTGTGTTGAAATGTGTTTCGGGTATCGTGCATCAATGCGACGTTCTATAGAGAGCAGGGCTGGGAGGAAAAAATAGCAGGGCACCTATAGTTGAAAGCTTGTATTTTCGTGGAGGTGGCATTACTGCGACTGAGATCAAGATCGGAGCACAGCATGAAGTGTTGAACGTTTGCAGCTTTCTTGCTTCTCCTCTTGCGGCGCTCTTATCCCCAAGCCTCTACCTCGCCCAACTGGACATGCTCACATCGTTCGCTCCCAGAGCCTTCACTCTTTGTTGCTTGGTCCTTCTTGGTATGATCAGAGCTACACAGTCCCTATGCCCTGCTCAGGACTAGAAAAATTGTCTCCAGACCCCTTCATCATGCCAATGATGCACTACTCGGCGTCCATTGCATCACTCGCGAATCACCAGACCCCATTTTCACTGCTTTTCTGACCCTCGCTTTGGAGCGCTCTCACCCTCTCAAAAGGTGCCTTTCGCGCCCTCCCCCCCCACACCCCCTTAACTCACTTCGTTCGCTCTAAGAGCTCAAGCCTAGCCTATCGGCTGGCTTTCGTATTTAATATATTATATTGTTATTTTTCTTTTGGCGTGCGTGCGCGCATGGTGACGGGCTCAACAGGAACCGCTGCAATTGTCAAGATGCTAAGTGTTCTTCGCTGTTGTGAGTCTCAAAGAGCATGCTACCACTGTAGAGCTCCCAAAGGATACCTGAGATCGTAGGGAAACATTCCCAAGAGCGCAACCATACCTAGCCTTTTCAGGCAAGGTGCAGCCTAAGCTCCATAGATCAGCTTTGTCCTTTGGCGTTCAAGCTCAGCAAACATCAACCGTTTCCCGAACTGGATGCAATTGATTGACAGCAAATGCTAAGAGTCCTGGGGTACTACAGTGGGCTTTTATATTAACTGATAGCATCTGATAGCAGCAAAGCATCTCGTCATACTTTGTCACGTCTTTGGAGAATCCATCACTGGCTGGAGTTGATGTAAAACTGTTTGTGACCAAATTTGCCAAAACTTTCCAGCCATGCTTCGCTCCATCCCATGTGCAAAATCACTTCTGGAGAGCGATACTGGCGTGTCTGTATCACTGACGAGTGATGCATATCCACCTCGGCCATTTTGCTCTTGTACTAGGCGTCACTAACCCGAGGATAGTGATTACTCGCCCGTTCCAACTGCCCATGTGCCTCCAGGCCCATCTTAAAACATAGACTTACGCAGCGCACGGCTTACTAAGTTACTAGTCTGAACATATGACCGCAATGTTTTGTTTGCTCATGTTTGTTTCAGGTGTCTTCGGCCCATAAGGAGTTCCAGATAATGTTTGCAATGTTTACTTGGCACCGCCCTAATAGAATGCCAGTAATGGAAGGATGCTCGGTTTTTGGTTGATGACTCTTACATGGACCTCGTCCTACTCAGGTCCTACTCTTACTTGGCCCCAGTGTCGTAGGTGGCACTCCCAAAGTCGACAAGCTTGACCAAGTTGGTGAATGGCCGCACGTATGGGAGATTCGCATACCTCTCAGAAATGCTTGAACTATAACTTTAGCACTTCCAATATTCTCGACATGGGGTGGAGTCAGGAGGAAAGCAGCAAGACTTACATATAATTGTGGTTCACATATGATCAGACCATATCACGCCGTTCCTATTCATGCACATGACAGTGTCTTGCTCTGGTCAACAGGTTAGGCCGGGCAGCATGCACCTCTACCACGACTGCACAAACAGGTCTCACACAGACACACACAAGTTTGAGTTCCAACACTTATATATTTGCCCTAATTTGCCTCCCAAACCACCTCCAGACCAGTGACACTGCGACTCTGTCACCCTCCTCTTTCGGCATGCC